GTGATATTATCTATACTACCATGACAAAATATCTATACTGCCATGGCAAAATTACTATTACATACATGTCAAACTTTCACTTTGGTCGATCACGGCAAATTATTGTTTATTTTGTCATGCCAAATTTAACTTGCGTGGACCATGATTTTTTTAATTTTAACCCTGGCAAAGTTGATCTCATTCTTTTGATAGCACAACAGAATTTGGGCTTTTATTTGTCACAACAAAAAATGGGATTTTTCATTTGTTTCATTATATTGGGCTTTTGTTCCTTTTTCTGTTTTTGCAAGGAAAAGGCCGGCGATGGGGAGGCTTTCGAGCTGTGGGGTTCCCCTGTCGAACGAAATCGTTCGTGGAGGTTGATTCCTCATACCGAATTTCTTTTGGTCTTGGAGGTCGCTAGGGTGAACGTATGCGCGTTATTGCCATCCTTGTTTTAAGGGAATGAGTAGGATAATGAAATAAAAATATTGTTTTGGTTTGGATTATTTCAAGTTACTCTATGTATGCTGATTTTTGTTTTGTTCGGCATCAGTTGAGATTATTCAAAGAGGTCTACAGAAAATCAAGTGGGGTGGTGGATGAGGAGGAAAAAACCGAGGAGGAGGTGAGATCAACCTACCTATGCCCCTTTTAACAACAGAAGATATTGCTTTACTCTATGACTTTTGGCTTTGATGTTAGCGGTGGTTGCGGCACCTGGTTGGTGTTTGTGCAAGAATTAAAGCATCTACATATGGACTTGGCAAAATTGACCCCCTAAACATATGTGGACGCGTGGGGGCTCGGACAGTGATTGGTCACCTGTCATTTCGCTGGGTCCGCAACCGTCTCCCTCACATCGTCCCTCCCTTGATCTATGCTATCCCGGTAAAACTCTGATCTAATGAAGCTTCCTCTTCCTGCCTTACTCCTTAGACACTGGACAAACAGCAGACAAAGGTGACAGATCAACGCAGCCGATAGGGTAGGGGCGGTGGCCTGGTGAGCGCCTTACCTGAGCGGGAGCGGCAGCGGCAGCTGCAAACAATGCCCTAGACCCTAGTGCAAGGACACGATCAAAGAATCGAGGGAGCAACTAATTAACGAGCACTCCTTCGGGAGCCTCACAACAATCAGCGTCATTTGACGCGCTCTCAGTCATTCGCCACATGCCGCGCTCTGGGCGCTCCCTCTGGATTTTGTTTATTTTTTTATTTTTTCGCACGCGTTTTCGGCTTTTTAAACTGTTTTTTTTTGTTTTTTTTGTTTTGGTTTTCCACGGTCTTCCCTAGCTTTTCGACTATTTTTTTGAAAAAATAATTTTTTTGCGCAAAAAACACATTTTTTTGCGAGAGTCACGGTTTTGTTTTCGCGAGAGGCACGATTATGCTTTTGCGAGAGGCACGGCTGTGCCTCTTGGAAACGAAAAAAAACGTGTTTTTTGTTTTTTCCTTTCGCGAGAGGCACGGTTTTGCTTCCGCGAGAGGCACGGTTGTGCTTTCGCGAGAGTCACGGCCGTGCCTCCTCGGAAACGAAAAAAACATGTTTTCTGTTGTTTTTTCTTTCGCGAGAGGCACGGTTTTGCTTCCGCAAGAGGCACGGTTGTGCTTTCGCGAGAGGCACGGACGTGCCTCTTTCAGAAAGGAAAAAAAATGTGTTTCCTGTTTTTTTCTTCCGCGAGAGGCGCGGTTTTGTTTCCGCGAGAGGTATGGTTGTGATTTCGTCAGAGGCATGGGCATGCCTCTTTCGGAAAGGGAAAAAACATGTGTCCCGGTTCGGTTTTTTCGTCGGTTTTTTCGTCCGGTTTTTTTGTGAAAAAAAGTTCGTCAAAACCTATCAACATGGGATCTAGTTTTGAAGAGCTCGACGCGAGGAATCCAACGGCGAAAGCGGTTCGAGATTTGGACGCACGGGTTAAGAGATAAAATGTTTTGAATAAACGGATCTACGAAAAAAGGGAAAACTCCCAGGTTGCAACAAGTGGCGCACATACAGCGCGCCACTTGTCGTAACTTGGAGGAGTTGGAGTGATCTTCGCAAGGAGTACTCCTTAACTAGTGATTTCGAAGAATCGACCGCATGAGGCAAATAAAGGCCATAACCACATGACAATGACATGGGCTATTGGGCTTCGGTTTAGGAAAGTTATTATATTAGTATATATATATGGGCTAATTTCCCTAGAAAAATCTTATATGGGCTAATGATGTGATTATCTCCGGCCAATTAGCACATCTACAGTTATACTAATGCCTGCTAGAAATTGTTGGCGGGACGAGCGATTGGCAGGGGTCTAGCCCCTGCTCGCCCCCCCCCCCCTTGTCTCCGCCCTTGGAGCCGGAGCACCTTTGCGTCGTTACAGCGGAGGCGTAGTGCGTTCGTCTCCGCTATGGAGAGCGAGCGGCGGAGGACCGCCGCACGGAGCTCCTCCTCCGGATCAACCATCGCGGAGACGCTGGACTGGCGGGGGAAGGTGCATCCGCCGCCCTCTCCCTGACTCGCTGCCTCTCAGGCGTCCACATCGGGGTGGGGTAGGCGCATGTCATCGTTGCACGATCCGACATGGTAGGATGTGTTTGGTCAGCCCCATATCCGTCTCGTATCTGCCTTAAATATGTGTTGGATATTAAAGGTAAGAGCAACTCTAGCAGACCCGCAAAATCCCGACCCGCAAAACGCGTTTGCAGTTTGACGCAAATCTCGCTTGTGGGTCGAGAACGAGCGCGGCCGATCAGAAACCGTACATGAAACTGCATAATCTAAAAAAACAGATTTGCGGGAGAAATTGCACCATAGTTGTTCATCACATACTACATATATTACATGATCAAACACTACAAACATTAGTTCATGCTACATACTACATTAGCACTAGTACTAGAGATGGTGGGGATCTCACGGCGGCGAGCTTGCGACCATGGACGACGCCGTGGAGGAGCTCAATCCTCCTCGCCGGAGCTGCCGAGGTTGATGTACTTCTCCCTATGCTCCTCGTGGATGCGCCACCACTCGTCGTCCTTCTCCTTGACGGTGAGGTTAGCCGTGCCCGCATGCTTGAACACGAGGTCTTCGAGCTCCTCGTGGTGGCACTGGCGCTCCGCCTCCTCACGCAAGCTCCGCTCGGCAATGGCGGCCACAACCGCGTCGACATCGGCGATGAAGTCCTCCGGCCCGATGACTCCGCGGATGCCGAGCTCCTCGGGGTCCTGCTTGACGGGGACCTCCTCCGGCTCCTCCGACCACTCCCTCTTCATGGGGAGAAGGCCCGCGCCGGAAGAGGAGGAGCTCTCGACGTAAGAGAAAGATCTTACCGTCGAGGACGAGCCCGCGGCCGAGGACGGCGTACGGCCGTGCCGACGGTCGTATTCGTCCGTCTCCCGGACGCAGAAGCTCGGCGGCGGCGCGAGGCCGCGGTTGGTCCACTTCCTCACCCCGCGCTTCCTCGCGCCGTCCGACCGGACGCGCCGCTCGTGCTCGGGGTCGCTATCGCCGCCGGGTCTGCTCCCGGAGCTGCACATGCGGCCCCACATGGCGGATGAAGACGGAAGGGGCTCGCCGGCGACGAGAAATGTGCGGTGGGGAGTGGGGAATTGCGCGAGGATGCGGCGGCGGGGGATAGGGTTTTGACCCGCACACGCGTCGCGAACTCGTAGATATACTGGTCGGGCGTGCGGTTTGCGGGCCGCGGTAAATATTTTTACGGGCCGGGTGAGTATACGGACTTTGTCCTAGCCAAAAAATCAGGCCGAGCCCGTATACTCGCCGGAATTTTATGGATCAGGGTCTTTTACGGGGTCTGATAGAGATGGTCTAAGGAGAGTTTGAGGAGACCGATTTTGTCGTGACCGGATCACTGACAAGTTCGTTCCATCGGTGAGCCCGGCTGTAGATGCTCTTGGAACTAGTTCACCCCTCTTTTTCGTTTTTTCGCAGCGGGATGCTTTTTCTCTTCTATCTTTGTTCCGTTATCTCCGACACTGGAACCCAATCCATTTGGATCGAATGAAAAAGAAACGTCAGTCTGTGGATCAGTCACTGGGCACCAATCACACTGTGGATCAGTCACTGGGCACCGTGATTGGTTCGAGCAATGGCGGCATCATGGTGCGAACGGAGATTCGTGGCACCATCGCGCCAGTGCGTCACGCCCAGGCGCGCCTCCGAGCCAACGGGCCGCGACGGCACGGCGCACCGCCGTACCGTCCCTCCCATCCCGGCGCGCTGCGCACGCTGCGGCTGGCTGCCTCGTCCCGTGCCGTGCCCAGAGGCCAGAGCAACCAGCCGCCGGGCGCGAGGGCCAGACTGGCCGCGGGTGCACGTCACCGCCCGCCCCCGCCCACCCGGAGCAACGGGCTCGACGCGTTGGTGCCGGGCCCCGTCCCGGCCCCGATCGTGGGTGCCACTGCTGAGAGGGCGCCGTGAGTGGGCACTTCGCTTGCGCTTATCGCCTCGGGCTCGGGGCGGCCTGGCTGCCACGGTAAGGTTCCTGTACGTGCCGAGAGGAGGGAGACCCGTCGCTGTGCGCAACCACTGCACGACCGCTGCTGGTCCGCGAGGTGGGCTGCACGAGCGCCTGGGACCCGGCCGGCGACCGGGGCGCTCGGTGCGCACGACACGGCACCGCGCGCGTCGTCTCAAGGGAGTAAAAAAACACAACGACGTCTCGGGTGGCGGCTGGTTCGTGGTACTCCTACGTCGTATGCCCGTACGTCCGCGCGGTAGTTGCCGCCGGGCGCTGTGCCGGGGGTCAAACAAAGGTGGCGGTGGCGCCCCCGCCACACCGCTCCAACAGTCCGCGCCACCTCACGCACACCGTCAAATGCCGCCACACCGTAAAATGCTGCTCCACTTGAGATGGACGGCTGGACCTGCTCCACCGACCAGCCCCCTTAAGAGCCACCCCGCCGCACCGCACACGCACGTTCGAGCTACACAAACCAAACGCCTCGTCCGTCCGTTCCTTTCCCTCCCTCCACCGCCGATCGATCAGGGCCAGCTCGCTCTCGTTGGTAGGTGGCATGCAGGAGCCCGGGCGGCGGCCGTTCGCCGGCGCCGTCGACCTGCGCCGCCCGAAGGGCTACCCGGCGCCGTTGGCCGCGCAGGCGCAGGCGGAGGCGGTGGCGGAGCTGGCGACGGGGGAGGCACACGGCGACCCCTGCCCGCGGTGCGAGTCGCGGGACACCAAGTTCTGCTACTACAACAACTACAACACCTCCCAGCCGCGCCACTACTGCAAGTCCTGCCGCCGCTACTGGACCAAGGGCGGCACCCTTCGCAACGTCCCCGTCGGCGGCGGCTCGCGCAAGAGCTCCTCCTCGTCATCGTCGTCGTCGTCCAGCCCCAAGCGCGCCAAGAACTCCAAGCGCCGCCGCGTCGCGCCGGCCGCGCCCCTGGAGCCCGAGGCTGAGCCCGGCGCCGACGCCCCAGCCGCCGTCGCCACGACGACGAAGGAGGCCGCGGCCACCGAGGACGTCACAACAGCTGGCGATACCGCCGCAGCCCCTGCGGCCGACGGGTGTTTCGCTTTCACGGCCGGCGAGCCCGACGCGCCACCCGCGGCGGACAGGTGTTTCACTTTCACGTCCGGCGAGCCAGACGCGCCACCCGCGGCGGACGGAGACGGGTGCTTCGCTTTCACGGCCGGCGAGCCCGACGTGCCGCCCGCGGCGAAGGGAGACGGGGGCCTCGCTTTCACCGATCACCCGTCGGTGGCGCTCGGGCTCGGCGTGGCGGACGACGCCGGCGGGAAGGAGCTGGCGGACCCGAGCCCGTTCGAGTGGCCGTCGGGCTGCGACCTGGGGTCCTACTGGGTGGCCGGCGTGTTCGCCGACACCGATCCGGCGCTGTTCCTCAGCCCGCCGTGAACCGTGGTCGTCTCGCAGAGCTCCACCTGTGAGCTGAGCACGGCACGGTCAGAGCACAGCTCGAGCTCCCCAACCTTCTTACTATCATCGTCTGGCCGGATTCCGGCTAGTAGTATTTGGAAATTTTCATGTCACCACTCACCAGAGGGGTCGATCTAAGAAGCCGTTTGTTGTAGTGCCTGATCGGAAGGCTAACCTAGAAGGTGAGGTGCCTGTATAAACCAGTACCCGGTCTGATCACGGCGTGTTTCAAGCCCTGAAAAGATTTCCCTTTCGCGATTAGCGAACTACCACTACTACTCATTTATACTACTACTTGTTTGACTCCTCCCCTGCTCTGCTCTCTACATATGGTATGAGATTTTCATCCTGTTGCTCCTGGATCATAGTTGCTGAAACCTGGAAATGTACCTGTAGCTAGCCAGTACTTCGCTACTAGCATACCTGATGCTTCTTGCTCCGATGAAGAGAGGAGAGCGTGCCGACCACGTACAGGTACAGTACAGCACAGGCATGTCCAGATGGTTCATAACTTCACGTACAGTGAAGGGCAGTACAGCACAGGCATGTCCAGATTGTTCCATAACTTCATCATGATCCGGTCCGGAATCAATCGGCGACGTGAGCGGCGAATCAAGGCGGCATGAATTCGGCCGCGTCGCGTACCACCGAGGGCGGGCACCGGCCACGAATTATTGTCGCCCGCCCACGAATTATTAGATTCGACGAATCGCAGCAGCCGGAACGCAACGCGACGTCGTCGAGGGACGGGCAGAGGATCGGTTCGTGTTCGGTTGGACGTCGGCGTCGGTCGGCGGACCTTAAATCGATTTCAATTCACGGGCGGGAGCGACGCGGCAGAGGCCGACAGCTCGCTCGCTCGCGATTCCGACGGCGACGGCCCCCGGCCCCGACCGCGACGGGACGGACGCGCGCGCCGCGTCAGGGATGGGCCGGGCTCGGCGTCACGTGTCGGTCGGCCCGTCGATTCGGCCGTGGTGCGGGCCGACGTGTGCGGTGGTGGACCGCGGAAGGGGAGGGGGCCCCGTCGGTCGACGTCGATCGCCTCGCCGGTGACACGACCCGGGCCGGGCGTATGTACGTACGCGGCTGACGGCGACCCGACCGGCTCGTCGGGTCCGGACGTCTGGGTCGCCGCCGACGCCGGCTGTTGGCGCGGGCGTCGGCGTGACGGGTTCTGGTGGATGGGTATGCGGTCGTGTCGTTTGACAACGTGCCTGGTGGTGTCGATGGATATCGGTCGTCCGAGCCTCGGTGGTTTCGCGCTGAAATTCGCGAGCAACCTTGCCATGTGTCTTGATCAGCGAGTGCGGACCATGTTCGATGCACGGGATTTTCTGAAAGTAGAATACTGGCTCTAGGGCTGGATTAACGAGCTGCTCGGCTCGTTTGGCTAGTTATCATTAAGCTCATTATCGTTGAGCTCATTATCATTAAGCTCGTTAATATTAATGAGCGAAAATGTCTATTCCGCTCGGTTCGTTATGGGTTCGTTATGCTCGTGAGTGTTCAGGAGTGCTCTGCTTGTTAAGATAATAAACAACATGAAGAATCTCATGATCCCATAAAAAATTCACAATGGAATAAATTAAACCAGGACGTAAAGGTAATAAACAACACAGAAGAATCCCATGATCCCATCAAAAATTCACAACGGCATAAATTTAACAAAGACATTTGGTTCCTAGCGGCTGGCTCCTAGTTGACTCTTGGGTCTACCGGCGGCTAGCTCCTACGTCTAGGAGAAGTGCCGAAGTGGGCTAGGGTGCTGAGCCCCTAGGCTCGGATAACTAACAACTCTTTTGTTAGTGGGCTGATTTGAACAAGGGGTCTCATGTCAAACTTTTGAAATTAGCGAGCTAAACGAGTTAGCTCATGAAACTCATTTGCTCGCTCGTTAAGTTCGCTAATCTTAATGAGCAAAAAACATTGTTCAGCTTGGTTCATTAACTAACGAGCACGAGCCGAAACGAGCCGAACTATCGAGCGTTCATTATGCTCGCGAGCTTCGAGCTTTTCGTCCAGCCCTAACTGGCTCCGCCGATTCAAAGAGATGTTTGTTTCTTCTTCTTTTAGTTTAAGGGATAATTGGTTTTATGCCCCTAATTGTGTCTCACTCGACAAAATTGCCCCTAATTTTCAAAAGTCAGTTGTTTTGTCCAACCCACTTTAGTCGTTTGGTGCTTTTGTCCTTTGATTGTTTGACCATCACTTTGAAAACTTCATAACTAATTCATACTAAATCAGAAAAAAAAACAAATAAGATACCAAAATGTTTGGGAAAACACCACCTACATGTCAATGTCATTTGCATTTATGACAAAAGTGTTGGAAAGTGCCCATCCGAGTTTTAGCTCTTATCATACCACCATGAACAGTAAAATCTAAAAAAAATCAAAAATATATTTGGTGGCAAAGAATGGTAAATGTTTTAAGTGCTCGCCAATTTTAAAATTCAAAAATATATTTGGTGGCAAAGAATGGCAAATGTTTTAAGTGCTCGCCAAGTTTTATCACAGAATGGCATCCGTGGAAGTCGTGGCAAAATATATTTGGTTCTGATAGGTGGTGATATCATACGTCCACGTTGATGGAAACTTCAACCCGCGAAGTGTAACGACTGCGCGAGTCCACGGAGGGCTCCACCCACGAAGGGATCGGAAGTATGTCTAGAGGGGGGTGGTTAGACTACTTGACCAAATAAAAATTTAGCCTTTTCCCAATTTTAGTTCTTGGCAGATTTTAGCAACTTTGCACAAGTCAAGCAATCAACGTACACATGCAATTCTAAGAGTATAGCAGCGGAATGTAAAACAATTGCATATGAAGGTAAAGGGAGGAGTTTAAGGGAGCAAACGCAATGTTGACACGGAGATTTTTTATCCATGGTTCCGATAGGTGGTGCTATCGTACATCCATGTTGATGGAGACTTCAACCCACGAAGGGTAACGGTTGTGCGAGTCCACAGAGGGCTCCACCCACGAAGGGTCCACGAAGAAGCAACCTTGTCTATCCCACCATGGCCGTCGCCCACAAAGGACTTGCCTCACTAGGGTAGATCTTTACGAAGTAGGCGATCTCCTTGCCATTAACAACTCCTTGGTTCAACTCCACAATCTTGACGGAGGCTCCCAAGTGACACCTAGCCAATCTAGGAGACATCACTCTCCAAGAAGTAACAAATGGTGTGTTGATGATGAACTCCTTGCTCTTGTGCTTCAAATGATAGTCTCCCCAACACTCAACTCTCTCTCACAAGATTTAGATTTGGTGGAAAGAAGATTTGAGTGGAAAGCAACTTGGGGAAGGCTAGAGATCAAGATTTATGTGGTTGGAATGGGATATCTTGACCTCAACACAAGTGTAGGTGGTTCTCTCTCAGAAAATATGTGTTGGAAGTGTAGGCATGTTCTGATGGATCTCTCCACGAATGAAGAATGGGTGGAGGGGTATATATAGCCTCCACACAAAATCTAATCATTACACACAAATCACTAAACTCGGTGGGACCGATTCAGAGAACTCTGTCAGACCGATTAGGTTCATAATGTGACCGTTAGGCATTTCGGTGGGACCGACATGTCAAATCGGTGGGACCGATTTCATTAGGGTTAGGGCATAACGTAATCTCGATGAGACCGATTACACAAACTCGGTGAGACCAATTTTGGTAATAGACAAACAGAGAGTTGGTCAGGCAAACTCGGTGGGACCGATTCGCTCATCTCGGTTGGACCGAAACGTTACGAAAAGGAAACAGAGTGTTTGCATTGCAATCTCGATGGGACCGATCGCTCATCTCGGTTTGACCGAAACGTTACGAAGGGAAACAGAGAGATTACAATCCCATCTCGGTGAGACCGAGATCCCTATCGGTGAGACCGAAAATACTAGGGTTTATGGCAGTGGCTATGTTAACTGAACTCGGTGGCTCCGGATAGAAAGTTTCGGTGGGGCCGAGTTGGACTTTTTGGTGTCGGACATATGTGGATATGAGAAAGTAGTGGAGGGTTTATGGAGCATATCACTAAGCATTTTGAGCAAGAACCTCATTAAGCAACACCTCATTCCTTCTTAATAGTATTGGCTTTTCCTATAGACTCAATGTGATCTTGGATCACTAAAATAGAAAATGTAGAGTCTTGTGCTTTGAGCTTGAGCCAATCTTTTGTCCTTGGCATTTTGAGGGATCCACCTTTCTCATCCATGCCATGCCAATCATTGAGCTTTCATGAAATGTTTATCTTTAAGTAGCATTAGCTCAATGAGCTATATGTTGTTAGGAATTACCAAAACCATCCAGGGGTAGTTGCACTTTCAGTCCACGAAGAAGCAACCTTGTCTATCACACCATGACCATAGCTTACGAAGGACTTGCCTCACAGGTAGATCTTCATGAAGTAGGCGATCTCCTTGCCCTTACAAACTTCTTGGTTCAACTCCACATCACGATGGAGGCTCCCAAGCGACACCTAACCAATCTAGGAGACACCACTCTCCAAAAGGTAATAAATAGACAGTGTGTTGATGATGAACTCCTTGCTCTTGTGCTTCAAATTATAGTCTCCCCAACACTCAACTCTCTCTCACATATTTGGCTATGGTGAAAGAATGATTTGAGTGGAAAGCAACTTGGGGAAGGCTAGAAATCAAGGTTCAAATGGTTGGAATGGAATCTCTTGATCTCAACACATTAGTGGGTGTTTCTCTTTTAGAAAATGAATGCTGAAAGTGTAGGCACGTTTTGATGGCTCTCCTCATTGAGAAGAAGGGGGTGGAGGGGTATATAGCCTCCACACAAAATTCAACCATTACACACTTTTGACCCATGTCTATGGCACCGATTATGAAAGTCGGTGGCACCGATCAGTACAAAAATATGAACGTTAGCAATCTCGGTGGGACCGATGATACGTCTCCAACGTATCTATAATTTTTGATTGCTCCATGCTATATTATCTACTGTTTTGGACCATAT